CCCCGTCTTACCATAAATGTTTAGAACCTTACTATAAACGTTTAAAGCCCACCCATCAAAACTGTCCTGCCAGGTTTCCGTGTGCCAGCCTGTTCTCCCTAACCTCTTAAATTTTGCCCCAAATCCTGAATCGGGGAGCCAGGTCTGAAGGCACACATCCCCCCACCCCCCACAGATTGATCTCACAGAATAAAGTTGATTTCTTTTCCCAAAAGCTGATGCCATAATAATTGAGGGTTTTTTAATGCACATCAGGCAAGAGAATCCCAGTTTTGTGTGGTAACCCTACAAAGTGTAATGGAAGAAATAATCCTAAACAGATGACAAATAAGGACTTCTACAAAGAGTGGAAAGTCAGACAGATTAGTGCTCAATCCCAGCTCAGACACACGGTGGCTTTGTGCAACTCACTTGCTCTCCCAGAGCCTGTTTCTCCATCATCACCCTCAACACTGCCCTCATACTTACCTCCTCCATCATAATCCTTATCCCTACCTCCTCCATCATAACCCGCATCCCTACCTCCTCCATCATAGCCCTCATCCCTACCTCCTCCATCACACTCTCATCCCTACCTCAACAAGACGTGCAGACTGGGTGCTGTATTTATACAAAAGAAAGGCACCTCCTTGGAGAAGAGAGATCATGAAAAGGCACAGCCCTAGAGGGGCAAGGTTTGGCCAGTAGACTAGCCTCTTTGTAGGAATAAAATGATTCCCGTCTCCAGCTGGATCCAGCCTAGCAGAGGGCGTCTAGCCGGGTGATCGGAGCCTCGGCTGGAGCACAGCTCCCACTCACCCCCTCAGGCCACTCCTGCAGGCCATGCCCAGCCGTCTGCACAGCCCGACCCACCCTAAAGACTTGCTTAGGAAATGGGATGGGACCCTGAGGCTGGAGTCCTCTACTTAAAGAATCATGGAGCCAATCTGCAACAAGAAAAAGGGAGTCATTAATTGGAAAAGGGATATGATGACCCCTGGGGTCCGATAGCTAGTAGGCACTCTATAACTAGCAGCTATTATCACCACAAATCCTTCCTTCAGAGTTTTGAACTCAAAGGTTCCTTTCAATCAATAGCACGCTTTAGCACAGCCCAAGAATCCAGACTGGCCTTGAAATTTCACTAACACTGCCACACATCCACCACCGAGTCAAACAGACTACTTCTATGGAATCTGTAATGACATAATTGAAACCGGGTTCACATTTATTTAAATAGTATAGTTTTGATGGAATGAAAATATTTTAGTAAGCGGCACAACACATGTTTGAGGAAAATTTACAGAGGTTCCCCCTGCCCCACCGACTTCCTCACTTACCTGTAAGAGCGCCATTTGGAAATGAAAAAGGAGAGGGAGAAAGAGGGAGGGGTGTTGAGTTTCAGTTCTGCATAATGGCACCTTTAACAAACCTGCCAGCTCCTCAAAAGCCAAACAGGGTGGTTTGAAAAGCCTTTACTACTGGCAGTTAATAAGCACAGGGCTCTGGGGGAACGAGAGCTCGCAGTGACTCCAATTTATAAATGCTACTGTTGCCCCCAGACACGTGTCTCAGGTTCCTGAGGGGCACTGGGAGCTTCTGCCATGATGAGGGTGCGGAGCAGGAGTTTAAACGGGGAGAGGAGGAGCTGGGAAACAAAGCCAAACACGCAGAAGGGAGCGCCTGGAGGTCCTGGACTCGAGACCACTGACAATGGCCAAGACCTCACCTGTCTGGCTTATTCCACTCTAATTTACCAATATCTTGAACGTGGGGAAAACATTCAAAATGCACAGGAAGATACTTTTTGTCTTTTTATTTGAAATTTTGCTACTTAGCATCTGTAGATACCAAAAACGCCTAAACTTCCACTAGGGGATATCAAAAGAGCTGAGTGTGTTTACAACTCTGACGGTGTAATTGAAACTTCAAATGCTGCAGAAACAATAACATTAGTGAGGTGAAGCCAACTCTAAATTAAAAGTCAGTGTTTCCATTACCCACTCTAACAGTGTTTGCAGGAGTTTATATAACTTGATCATTAAAAAATGCTCTAGGCTGAAAACCTGGTCTGTGTCAATCTTGGACTAAACCAGTTTGCAAAGCTCTGAAGTTTGTTTGCCCTTCTCTTTTATCCCTTTTCAGGAATGTATTACTTTAAATGCTACACATGAAACTGAACCAAACAAATCTCTAACACCTGATGAGCCAATCCTGTTGCATGCATCACTCATTTTTCAGACAAAATTTATGATTTCTATAAACTCACTTTCAAGGCGCCTATGGTTGGAAGCAAAGAGCTCAAAGTTCTTTTCTAACTCAGTCTTCAGCATATCCCTTCTCTGTTGGTTACTTCGTCAAAAGTATTGGAACTTCAAATTGGAATGTTAACTTTTGCAGAAATAAACTTCAAAGTAGAATTCAACTTAGTAGAAATAACATTTACTATTATGACTTTATTAGATTGGCTCTTTGTGGAATAGAATAGAGTTTTTACATGGGGACATCAGATTTGGACATGTTCCAGTTATACTGCAGTGGAGAATAACAGTCGAGGGCAATTGTGCATGAATGAAAATATCCCGGAGACAGACACGGAAATATCTTGGTATCGAGATGCCCAACTATCCAGGCTGTGAGGCGACGAGAGGCAGTTCTAACTCCCAAGGTTGGGCTGCAAGGAATGCTCAGGAAGAGGCAGGTCAGGAGGGCAGCTCCGCCTGCACCTGAGATGGCCTCCACCCTTCACCACTGAGAAGCACAGGCTTCTTCACGGTACTCATGTAGGACCATCCAAGGGATCTAGGCAATTTGGATCCTTGCCTGGGAAAGAGGAGACAAAGCAAGAACAAACCTCTGTATGTGTGCATGTGTGTGTGCCTGTGTGCAGGCGTGTGCGTGTGTGTGGGGGGGGGTGTATGTTAAGTTTGCGTCTCTTTCTGTCTGTCTATCTCTATCTATACTTTATAGGGGAGACTATACATAGAGTAAATATATTTATAAATGTGGAAATGGGAATATTGTTTTAACAGTTCATATTACATTTTTATTTTGACTTTTGTAAAACTGTGTAAAATCATATTTTTTAATAAAAATAGGGATGCCTAGACTCTCTGGGTCAGAAGAAACGATGAATTTCACTTCTTCACCCAGACACCCTCCAGAACAGTCCTCTTTACGGTATCACTCAGCACCTTAAATTATCCGTAGAAACAGGCATGACAGAAATTTATAAACTCAAATTTTAAAAATTTGATGAGTTGTAACATATCCTGTGATTAAATATTTCCCGTGATGGAGAACTTATTATTCATGAAATAGCCTTTCATTCAGATAACACTTACGGCTCAAAAATCCTTCCTTATGGTCCTGGAAATGCCTTCTTAAGAAATACCCAAGGATTTTTTTATTGTGAAGCACTATAAAATATCACTGCTAACATTTCTAAGTCCAAAAAGATTTGAACCTGGCCAAATGTAGTAAATCCTCTTTATCATTATAACATAACTAAAGTACTATTATTTAAACACTATATTTTATCAAATTTTTAATAATAAAGTGACTTTTACCAAACATTAAAACCACATCTTAACAATGGAATATTATTCAGCCATGAAAAGGAATGAAGTACTGATATATGCTACAACATGGATGGACCTTGAAAACACTACGTTAACTGAAAGAAACCAGACACAAAAGGCCACATACTGTATGATTCTGTTTAGATGAAATCTCCAGAACAGGCAGAAAGTAAATTAATGGTTGCCTAGGGATGGGTGGTGAGGGGACGGGGAGTAATCTTTGTGGGTGCTGGGTTTCTTATTGAGGCGATGAAAGTGTTCTGGAATTAGATGGCAGCGGGGGGTGCACAACACGAAAACCAGTGAATCGTATTCCTTAAACGGGCACATGTTATAGCACACAAATTATATCTCAAATATCTTAAATCACAGATCTCAAATTAAAAATCATTTTGATAGGCATTATTGTTCAAGGACGTCTGAACTCAATTAAGTGGCCAAAATGAATACAAAGTCGAGCTCTGTAAAGTTTAACTCTCTAAAAGTCAGGCAGCAAGGGATACTGAATAATTTATGAGTATGGATTTTACCAAAGAATCTCTCACTATATTAATGTTAATACTCTTTGATTCATGGAGAGTTTTGATCTCCTTTTTAGTTTACAGGGAGGGGTAGGTTATTACTTGTACTGGCACTTATGAACGATCAGGAAATTTGAAAACCACAAATGGATTCCTCAAAGAAAAACTGACAATTTAAAACTGCTATTATGGTCTATTTCAAGCATCTCAGGGTTTCTTTAGGTTTAACTTAAAACATGGATTTTATTCTCTCTGTTTGAAATGCTTCTGTTTTTCAAATGACAATCGCACGTTCTACAAAAACTTAAGTAGAATTTATCTGATGGCGGGTTAATTTAGAAAGCTAATACTAAAGCACACACATGTTGACTTTTTCAGATTAAAACTTCAAAATATAATATGTATAAGACATAATATTTCTTTAAAAATAGCAATAAAGAACTCCCAATTTGAAAAACAAATATACGTGTCATTACATTTTTCCCATAAAGACATATGAAATCTTACTTTATGCTTCAGAATAGGATTGAGTCACTGTCATATAATGTTATTCAACTTTTGTCCCCGTATTTGTCATATTAGAAATTGTGCATGTCCTGTCTCACTAGCTGTACTGTAAGCTCCAGGAACTATACACAAATCTTGATATTTTAGATTAAGCCCAATGATAATGTCCTACCTACAGATAGGGGCCTAAGATCTAATATATGTTGAAAATTCATTCATTAAGTTGTTTGCACTACCCAATTCTCCATGGCAGACTTCCTTGATATGTATTTATAGTATACTGGATTGCCAAATGACCAAAACTTGCCATGAATTTTACAATGTAATTATTACATAGATTTCTATGAGTGTTATGACACATAACTTTATTATGAACATACCTAATATGAAACAAAACCACCATAATACTCACAGTTGTAACCAGGCGCGATACGGTGCTGAGCTTCCAGGCTGGCCAATGTGATGTGAAAGATGACGTGCAGCAACAGGAAGGACAGACTGGTGAAGCACAGAGACTTCAACAACCGTCCCGTATGTCCTAGGGGAGAAAAGAACAGAGACTGTGAGAGAACTTAGGATGAAACACACCCATTCTGATCTTCCTACAGTTCCACATGGAACATGTTTCTATGTAATCTACTCTGTAGACTGACTCCAAAGCATATGACACGTAACAATTACTCTCTTAATTACTAGTCTAAACCTAAAAGCTATCTTATTCCCTTTGTAAAATTATACAAATAACATTGATTAAAAACTCGATGTAAAAGAAAGATGCTTCCCTCTTCATCATATGACATGTTACCACAAAACGAAACCACAAAAAGTCCTTGGCCCAGAAAATTTTATAAGGGACTTCTGCCAATTTTGAAGGCAGATAATCCCTATCTTATAAGAGTAGTTCCAGAGAGTAAAAAACGAAGGAAAGTTGCCTAAAACATTTCATGAAGTTAGAGTAACTTTAAATTCAAAGTTAAATAAGGCTAGAAGAGGAAAAGAAATTATAAGCCCATTTTACTTATGAACACAGACACAAATTATTTACAGATATAATTGCTAATCAACTGAAATAGCATAGTAAAATTATAACATATAATAAGCTAGGGTTTATTGCAGAAAAACAAGTGTCTTTTACCATTAATAAATCTATAAGTGTAAGTCATACCCTAGAGGGCTGATAGTATGATTTTCTCAATAGATACAGAAGAAGCATTTCATAAAGTTCAAAATCTATTTATCATCAAAGAAAACAACACTCAGAAAACTAGGAATAGAAGGAAATGTTCTTAAGATGATAACAGATTTACACCATAACTAAAGCAAACAATCTGTTTATGGTGGAATTTTAGACATAGTCCCATTAATGTCAGAGATTGATCAAGGACACTTGACACTCTTGCCACTTAACATATCAATAGGTGTGCTGGCCAATGTTATAAGACAAGAAAAAAGAATAAAGAGTTGTAATAACTAGAATTATTTGCAGACAATATGATCAAATGGAATTACTCACAGATGATATTATCAATGTAGAATGTCAAACTGAAACCACAGACCAACTATTAGAGCAAATGATTCAGATACAATATCATCTTACGGAAGTCAATACAGCACCTATGCATTAGCAATAACCAAATAGTAAACAAGACATCACTTAAATTAGCAACCAAAACTGTATTGTAATGGTTTTGCCAGTGTTTTAGTGGTTTGGTTTTAGTCAGTTTGGCTAGGCTACAGTCCCTGATTATTCAATCAAACACTAAACTAAATGTTTTTGTGAATTTATAGAAGTGACTAAAGTCTATTATCAACTGACATTAAGTAAGGATGTTATCTGTGATAATCTGGGCAGGCCTGATTCAATCAGTTGGAAGGCCTGGAAACCAGGAGGAAGAAAGAAACAATGAGGAAATTCTGTCCCCTGTTGACATTAGCTTCAGCCTGTGCCTATGAATTTAGGCTTGTCCATGACCATGATTTTCCCTTCTGGACAGCCTACCCTACAGATTTTGGCTTTCTTAGCCAGCTTGCATAATCAACAGTATAAGCCAATTCTTTATAATAAATCGTATATAGACAAATATATAATATATATATAATCTCCTACAGGTTGAACCCTGACTGATTACAGTATCTATGAACTAAACTTAACTAAGAATGTGCAAGATCTTTATGGACAAAATTATAAAATTCAATAGAAAAACAAGAAGACATGAATAAATGAAGAGATATGCCACACTGGTGAATGAAATGACTTAATATGATAAAAATGACAATTTTCCCCAAATTTAGTCTACAAATTCAATGTAACTTCAAATAAAATACCAGGAGAAACTTTAGACCTTTGACAAACATATTTCAAAATATATACAAAAAGATTTTTTGAGGAACTCAAGAAACTTATTTTAGAAATATATTTGGAAGAAAGAAGTCTATGAATTTCCAGGTCAATTTTGAAGTTTTGAGAAATTAGATCAAGAGTGGGCGTGGTTGTTTGTCCTAGCAGACATTAAGATATACTATACACCCATAAGTTAAGACAAAACAATCAGAAACTTAGATTCCTTATGGAGAGCGAAAAAAAAAGTCAAATGGAATATCATACAGAGCTCAGAAGAAACAAATTTATTTACATAAACTTGATAAATGTCAAATTTTACCCCACAAGTCAGGAGGAAAAAGATAAGCTATCTAGCAGAAGAAAACCGGCTCAATAAATACAGACAAAAATAACCCTGGATTCCTGCCACCAAGGTGACCTCTAGATGAATAAAGACCTAAATGCGGAAGATAAAATTCTAAAGTTAACACATGAAAATATGGGATAACAACCTTGTGCCTTTGCTAGGAGGCTTGCCTTCTAAAACTAGGCCCCAAAACATAAGCTATAAGGAAAAAAAAAGACGAATTTGACTGTATTAAAATCAAAGATTAAACAAATGCCACCATAAATAAAATTCACAGACAGATGATTAGTTGGGACATTTAAGATATACATGAGATTAATATTTAGAACAGATAAAGAATGACTACATATCAACAAGAAGAAGGCAGGTCAACTGAGAGAGAAGGGGGCAGAATGTCTAAACAAGCAGATTACAGGGAACCCGGGTGGGTGATATGTTTACACAGAAAAGCTAAAGCTGTTAGCAGAGAAATTATCATGAAAACAGAAATGAGCTAACATTTTAGACCCATCATATTAGCAAAAATTATAAAAATTCAAAATATTGAGTTTTTCTGAAGGGAAACGATGTTTTCACAGTAGGCCAGAACTGGTGGAGCCTTTCTGGATGTGAGTTCTGAAGGAGGCCAAAATTCTGTGACTTAGTCATCACACTCCAGAGGAAGGTTTGCGACAGGCCTACATGGGGACTCGAATAATGACATTCATGTCATTGTCTGTAGTAGCAGGCAATCGGAGATATTCTAATTTTCCACCACTGAAGCGATGGCTATGTAACAATGCAGTGAATGTGTCTGAAATATTTGCACCATTAGGTGCATTAAGGCAGAAGAACATTGAACAACATAGCTGGGTCTTAAAAACACTCGCTAAAAATAACGAGAAACAAGATGAGACACGTAGCACAAAATAATTCAGATAAATTATGAACACAGACATGGATAAAATAACATGTATGTTTCACACAAATATGTTTTGGTGTATTCAACATAGTGTCAAGCGTATCTGAGTAGTTTCATATGGGAAGGTAGAAAATAGGAATGAGAATCGAATATGATATGAACAAGAGTAAATCAATAAAGCAAGAGAAGCACTTTGGCTGATCCTATAATAAAACCCTTCTGTGAATTGAAGACTAAATTGTTTCAACTCTCTTCACCCAGAGATGGAAAGGACTAGACAAATATTGGACTAGATAACCAACACTCTGGTCCTTGGTCTGCCACTGGCCATGCAATTTTGGGGACCTAATTAGAGTCTCCAGGCCTTTGAAACCCTAAAATTTTATATATAAATAAGATTTATTTATATGACAAATATATACATGATAAATATATGGTATACTTATGAATTTATATGTTTATAAATACATTTTATATTTATATTTACATGATAAACATATAAGCTAACTATACGCATATGATATAGATATAATTTTATATTTAAAATACATGTGTAAACACACCCATAGATCTTTAAGATCTAATCAGAAGTTACGTTATCTCATTTCCACATAAAATCCCAGTTTAGGGGTAAGAAAACTGCTTTGTATACTCTGAATGACTGTATTACTAATCTCATGTCAGGAAAGAAAACTGAAAACTTCACCCAAAATATTGAGAGAACATAAGCTGAATGTCTCTTGGGCGTACATTCAACAAACCCGTGCTGGAGAGAGTGATTTCTCAGTAGCCCAAGGGGAGTTTCCGTTACAACCTGTGCCGTATCACGAGGAACCACACAGCTCATTTCTAATTCTTTTCGACAACGATGTAAGCCACGCTCGTCTATCGCCATGGTAATTGCTCCTGCTGCCCTGGCTCTCCCCAGGCTCTGAGCTCAGGATATTTATCTTTGTGTTTCTAATGTTGACTCAAAAGCTTCAGTGAGCGCTGCTCACACGGACCAAGGGCAGAGGAGCCCATAAAATTCTCTCAGGAAAAACATGTAATTGCCGTAAAAAATGAAGCTTAGAGATCTAAAATGTCATAAACAGAAAGAAAAATATAATTAAAATGCATATTTCATTCTAAAATGCATTTCTTTATATTTTTCTACCTTTTGACATAATATAGTTTTGGCTTGTAGTCAGTTACTTAAATAAAAACATAGCTTAATGAAATTAAACTTTATTAGTCTTTTAAGAAAATGAAAAGTTTAAAATAAATGGAAGCAGAAAGCAAGGGAATTAGTCTGTTGATTTGTTCTCAATCCTACCGTAGTTTTTATTGCTTCCATTGGGGACAACTAAGGATTAACATACAGAAATAAAATTTTTTCAAGATAGTCAAATAATGTATAATAATGCTGTATAAACAATTAGGTTTTGCTTGTCAAGTATTCCCTTACAGTAACATTTCCTGATTGCAAAAGGATGGATATACATTGGAGATATTCTAATATGTATTTATATATATATACACATTTAATTGAGGTAAAATTCAGATAACATAAAATGAACTGTTTTAAAGTGAAAATTTCAGTGTCATTTAGTACATTTACAATGTTGCACGACTCTTGCCTCTATCTACTTTTGAAACATTTCCTCACTCCAAAAGCACCAGTTAAGTAGTTATTTTCCATTCCTCCTCCTCCTCACCCCTGGCAACCATGTCAGCTTTCTGTCTCTATGGAAATTTCATATAAATGTTATCATACAATATGTGACCCTTAGTGTCTGACTTCCTTTCACTCAGCATAATGTTCTCAAGGTTCATCCATGTTGTAGCACGTGTCAGTACTTCATTCCTTTTTATGACTGAATACTATTCCATTGTATGCATTAACCTGTGTTCATCTATTCACTTGCTGATGGAGATTTAGGTTGTGCACACCTTTTGGCTACTGTGAAT